GGCAGCCTCAGAGGCTTTGCTCCCGTCTCCCTAGTCTGGGGAGACGTGGAGCAAAGCCGCGGGCAGCGGACAGCCCAGACGCGCCGCAGCTGTCCCGCTGCCGGCGTCCTCAGCAGACCAGGGAGAGGGGCAGCAAACCCCGTTCGTAACTGCGGATCCGACATAAGTCGGATCCGCGTAACTCGGGGACTGCCTGTGGTAATAGCTGATGCTTATAGGCTCCATTTACTTGGTACTTCAGTTAGCTTTGCAGCCTGTAATGTTCAAGCAAAATAATTTAGAGTTTCACATTCATTGATAATCTCCTTTTTCAGATGTTTTATGCCTTCAGATAATTGCAACTCAGGAAAAATCTGCCCCACAGTGCTACACCACTGCAGCTGCCAATGGCATAATTACTCCACCTTCTCAAGATGCATAAGCTACATCGGCAGGAGAGTGTCTCCTGCCAACTAGCTCTGATGTGCACAGCGTGAAATTTTCATCACTAAGGGGAAAGAGAAGCTCTTTGTCACTCCTGGGCAATCATTAGTTAGATAACTTAAGTAGTCATATAGGCCTGCCCTACATTTTTTTTTCTGACATGATTTGCAAGCAACTGGCCTATTTCATCTTGTGATTCATTTCATAATAGTATTTGTGCATTTTTATATTGTTGAAATTTAGGCCAAGATTTTCCAAAATAATAGCCTTCAGCTAGACTCCTAAAGCTGTATTTAGGTATTTAAATGGCCTGACTTTTGAAAGTGCTGAACACTGAACAGTTACATTGATAATCAGCATTCTTGAAAATTACACATCAGTGCTTAAATTAGGCTCCTTAACCCATATTTTAGGCTTTAGTTTTTGAAAATCTTGGGGGGTTTTTTGTTTAGCTTGTGTTTTTTTAAAAAAAAATAGGATTACCTGATATTTTAATAATAGCTATATTGGAATTCTTATGTGAAAAGGAAGATTGATCAACTCAAAGCATATTTTCTCTTACCCTGGGTATAGTTTTGAATTTGTTGGGAGTATTCTCCTTTCAGGTTTATGACTATTAAATACTAAGGCTATGTCTGGACTACATTCCTCTTTTGAAAGAGGAATGTAAATGAGGCAAATCGAATTTGCAAATGAAGCACGGATTTAAATATCCTTTACTTCATTTGCATATTCACGCCCAAACGCATTTTTGAAAAAGGGTATTTTGAAAGTGAAAGTGCAGTCTAGATGTGGTTCTTTCAAAAAAGGGGTATTTTTCAAAAGAACTGCATCTATACTGGGCTTTCACTTTCGAAAAACCCTTTTTTGAAAGCACTCGGATGTGAATATGCAAATGAAGTAAAGGATATTTAAATCCGTGCTTCATTTGCAAATTCGATTTGCCTCATTTACATTCCTCTTTTGACAGAGGAATGTAGTTTAGACGTACCATAAGACTTTTTGTTTAGCTATAATCTCTGGAGGATGAATATGAGACCAAAAACCCCTTTTTCGTAACATCCCTTCTTCCTCATAAAACGAGGTTTACAGGGATGCCGAAAAAGCGCATCTGCTCTTCTGAAAAAAAATTGGAACAGCAGACACATTCCCTGGGTGTGCAGAGTTTTTCCGGGATTTATAGCCTCAGGCAACACTTTGTTAGCATGGTTTTGGTTCGCTAGTAGCTACTGCTTATAAATAAATTGAAGTTACCCTTCTTTTTCATCTGAGCTTCCCTTGATCCAGGTGGTGCATTAATATCTCCTATGCCCTGAAAGTATACATATTTCTTTACAGTTATCAAATTGGGTGCAAACTTCCAAACATCCTCTCGATCATCAATAATGCACACCATGGAGTCACCACATGGGAAGAGATTTCTGAAAGAAAAAAAGTGGTTTGTTTTTATTTTCTATTAAAATTACTATTTAAAACATACTCTGGGTTGACTGTGTGTGTGTGCATGAATGCTAAACATGAATGATTTTTGAAAAATGCATGAGTCTACTCATTTACCTATAACAGCTGGCATGCAATTTGCAGCGCTTCTTACTTGTTACTTTAGCAATAACCTTTCTGGATTTTTTTAAAAAAAGTTTTATGATCATTAGAAAGAATTTTCAAGTTAATTACAAAAAATCTTTAAAATATAAAAAATAGCAATTACATTTTGTTTGTCCCTTTTAGTTCCAGTAGCAAAAAAGATGAGCCACCCAAAGTTTAAATTTTGGAATACATTGTGTATTACACCAAATTTCAATCTAGGTTCTTTTACCTAAATAAAACACATAATTTGGAAAAAAAACAGCGGGAGCAATCTCATATACAGGCAGTCCCCGACTTACGTCGGATCCGCACTTACGAACGGGGCTTTCTCGCCCCGGAGCTCGCATGTAGCAATCCGCCACCTCGACCTCCGGGGCGAGAAAGCCCCGTTCGTAAGTGCGGATCCGACGTAAGTCGGGGACTGCCTGTATATGAGATTGCTCCCGCTGTTTTTTTTCCAAATTATGTGTTTTATTTAGGTAAAAGAACCTAGATTGAAATTTGGTGTAATACACAATGTATTCCAAAATTTAAACTTTGGGTGGCTCATCTTTTTTGCTACTGGAACTAAAAGGGACAAACAAAATGTAATTGCTATTTTTTATATTTTAAAGATTTTTTGTAATTAACTTGAAAATTCTTTCTAATGATCATAAAACTTTTTTTAAAAAAATCCAGAAAGGTTATTGCTAAAGTAACAAGTAAGAAGCGCTGCAAATTGCATGCCAGCTGTTATAGGTAAATGAGTAGACTCATGCATTTTTCAAAAATCATTCATGTTTAGCATTCATGCACACACACACAGTCAACCCAGAGTATGTTTTAAATAGTAATTTTAATAGAAAATAAAAACAAACCACTTTTTTTCTTTCAGAAATCTCTTCCCATGTGGTGACTCCATGGTGTGCATTATTGATGATCGAGAGGATGTTTGGAAGTTTGCACCCAATTTGATAACTGTAAAGAAATATGTATACTTTCAGGGCATAGGAGATATTAATGCACCACCTGGATCAAGGGAAGCTCAGATGAAAAAGAAGGGTAACTTCAATTTATTTATAAGCAGTAGCTACTAGCGAACCAAAACCATGCTAACAAAGTGTTGCCTGAGGCTATAAATCCCGGAAAAACTCTGCACACCCAGGGAATGTGTCTGCTGTTCCAATTTTTTTTCAGAAGAGCAGATGCGCTTTTTCGGCATCCCTGTAAACCTCGTTTTATGAGGAAGAAGGGATGTTACGAAAAAGGGGTTTTTCCTGACTTTTGGCCCAGTGTAGATGTGCCAAATGTTGGAAAAGCCTCTTCCAAAAAAAGAAGTGGAAAAAGCTACGCAAATTGTGGTTCGCAGTTTGCATAGCTTTTTCTGGAAGAACAGTGTAGTGTAGATATAGCCTGAGACAAATTAATAGTGGGAGTTTCAGTGTCTACCAAACTCATCCATTTTGCATTGGATAGAGAATTCTATAGCAGAGCTCAGGCCCCCCATGGGCAGTGGCTGCTGCCAGACACCAGCCTCTATCTGCAGCCAGATCAGGCCCCTGTGGAAAGAGGCTGCTTCGCAGCAGCCTCGCCTCCTTTCCATCCCCCTGGTAGTAGCCTCTATCCACGTGGAGCTCGGACCCCCACAGATATGGGCTGCTGTCACTCTACACTGCTGCCTCTATCAGAGCACCTGGTCGGCACAGGGAGATGTTTTTTTAAACTGGCTCCCCTCGCAGACCGGCTCCTGGGGACTATCAAATAGTCGTGTAACCAATAAGATTTCATACAATTACATGACTATTCAATTACGCTATATCTAACATCCCTAACATAGACATGTTTCATTATAGGTCAAAATCATTTAATATGTGGAAGAGAGGAAGGATGTTTCTGGAAACATAATTGAAAGCTCCTCCTCTTGGGAGGATAAAAAATGGAAATGTCATCTTTTATTTTTGTGTGTGTGTGTGTGTCTCTCTCCAGTAAATCATTCTTCAAAAACAACTGAAACATCTGATCCCCCAGTGGTACCAACAAAAGATTCTGAAGAAGTGAAGAATGTTACATGTGCGGATGAACAAAGCAATGGGCTTGGGAAATCTACAAAAGAAATGTGTACTACAAATGGTAGTAACTTTATGAGCAGTGAAACTTCTAACTGGGGATTGAATTCCAATGATAAATTAAATGATAGAGACTCCATAAGTGATACCATTGATTACAAAACAAATGCTGCAACCATTAATGATTCAACAAATGTTAAGGAGTCTCAGATTTCTTCAGAACTAGATAATCGGACAGTTACAAAGAAGCAGCAGATCCAAGACAAGGCAACAAATGACTTGGACTTTGAATTATCTAGTGATAGTGAAAGTGACAATGGATTAGATGCTAGGAAGTCCTCATCCTCTTCCTCAGATAGTGACAATGAGGGTAAAAGAAGCTGGAAAAAATCAAAGCAGCCTGTACAAGATGATAATTTGCAGCAAGAATGTTGCATTGATGTGAGTGTGGGGAAGGATAGTCAAATGAACCATTCAGGGGAGGCAACAACTTCACCAAGTGTATATGCTCATGGCAAGACAGTTGATCTTGAAATGCAAGAAGAAAGTGAACAGGTCAGCCTTTGTGATTTAGGAAATGGGTGTGCAGACAAGAAAGAAGCAGAGACAGAGTCACAGAATAGTGAGCAGTCTGGGATTACAATGGGCGAATCTTTAGATCAGAGCATGGAAGAAGAGGAAGAAGAGGACACAGATGAGGATGACCATTTAATATACCTCGAAGAGATCCTTGTTCGGGTGCACACTGATTATTATACCAAGTATGATAAATACCTGAAAAAGGAGATCCATGAAATTCCAGACATAAGAAAAATAGTACCAGAATTGAAAAGCAAGGTATTGGCAGATGTTACCATTATATTTAGTGGACTCTATCCAACAAATTTCCCAATAGAAAGAACCCGAGAACATTACCATGCTACAGCACTTGGAGCTAAAATTATAAAGAACCTAGCACTGAATGCTGATGATCCTAACAAGCCAACCCATCTGATTGCAGCAAGGGCAGGTAAGTAAGTGAAATTTATCAGTTTCCTCTTAATAAAATAATGAGTGAAAACAGTATTTTCAGTAATACAAAAAGTTGGCTGAAGAGTTGAAAGGACTTCATATATTTGCTGTCTTTCATGTTGGCTTAAATTATAATGGAGAATAGCTTAAAGATTTACTGAAAATCATTTTAAAAGGTCTTTGTATCCTTTTTGCTTTCATAGCATTAAGCTCTTGTTTGTTTTTCTAAAAACAAAAAAAACAAAAAAAAATTAAAACAATTATCTGGTCTTTCCTGGTCTTGAGTGTGTCACATGGAAGTGTATTAGCTTTCACCTTTGAAAGGGGAGAGGTGTTGCTTATTCAACTAAGATGATGATCTATAATTAGGTATATTTTAAACTAGAGTAACTGAAATGAAATAAGTGATAACCAGTCTTGACTTAGAATTCTCGTCTCACTTGCCCAACTTTCATTCCTCTTCTTGTGATACTGCCATTTCACTTCATTCCCAGCTTTTCCTTGTCTTCCAGGCTAGACAAGACCCGAATTCCTAATGTGGTTAAGAAATAAATCTAACATGCCTTTTAGTCCCTCTTTATACACAATGAAGAAGCAAAGAACATGAGTCTAGTCCAGTGGTCACCAAACCAGTAGATCAGGATCTACTGGCAGGTGATCTTGACTAGTTTGGCCAGGAAGCTATCAAGTGCTGGCATTTCAGTTGCCCTTGCACCCACTGTCATGCTGATTCTGGAGCTGCAACACTGGGAGCCTCCTGCTTGCTATGCGGGCTCTGGGAGGGAGAGACGGAGGGGGCACTGATGTTCCTTTCCCCCCTCACTTCTGTACCCTGTTGCCACACAGAGAGAAAGGGATGGAGGGAGCTTGGCAATGCAAATCTGTCACTCTCTCACATTGTGTCTCTGTCATTCTCACAATCTCACACTATCCTTCACTCTCATCTCCCTCCCGAACACATACATGTGGGGTTGTTGTTACTTTTGCTGCTTGCAGAGGGTGTTATTTTTGGTTTTTGACTGATCAGTGCATTTCATAATTTTGATTTCTCATGCTTAAATTTAATTCTTTGAGTAGTGAGTTCTCAAATGCTTAACCTGTCATGGCTGGAGTAATTATCCTTCTGGTAATTGCTGCTCCTGGAAGTGGCTGGCAAGTCTCTTCAGCCCTTGAGAAAGGCAGAGCAGGGGGTCTCTACATGCTGTCCTTGCCTGCAAACACCACTCCTGCAGCTCCCATTGATCAATAGCGGGGAACCGTGGTCAGTAGAAGCTGTGGGCTCAGTGCCTATAGATAAGGGTCAGCACATGGCACCATGGAGTCACTGCTATATATGCCAGCAGTTTTCAAGAGTGGTGCAGGGTCAGGGCAGGAGTAAGCCTACTTTAACCCCACTGCTCCACCACTCAGAAGCCATCTCAGTTAACAGTGCCTAGCCAGAGCCTGCTTCCTGAACCCCTGTCCCAGCCCTGAACTGCCTCCTACACCCAACCTCCTGCTCCATATGTGAGTTCCCCTGCAGCCAAACTCCTTCCTAATGTTTGCACCCTGGACCCCAATCTCCCACCCTGGGCTAAGCCCGGAGCCCCTCCAATATGCCAAACCCCTTGGCCCAAGACCAGAACCTGCACCCCAATTCCAGCCTGATGAAAGTAAGTGAGGATGTGGGGAGGAAGTGGGATGGAGTGAGCAGGGTGAGGCCTCAAAGAAGGGGTGAGGCAGAGACAGGGCCTTAAAGAAGGGGCAGGAAGGAAGCAGGGCAAGGGTGTTTGTGTTGGTGGTAGATCTTACGTGCATTTAAATTGAAAAAAGTAATCTTGTGGTTAAAAAAGGTGGAGACCACTGGTCTAGTTTTTTCAGTCACTTTGGTTTATTTTCCTAGCCTGACAAGTTTCTTATAAGATTAGAATATATGCAAGAAATAAATATTTTGTTTTAAAGGCTTGCAGTGTAAAAATATCATAGTGTATTTTTGTTAATGTGATGAAGGTTTTTCCACCCAAATCTATAACTTCAGTTCAAGCTCATAATATAATTTCCAATTTAATAGTCCAACCAATGTAGTCTTTTCTTGAAAATAAATATTTTTTTCATATTGATCATGAGTTCTGCACTGAAATAATGGTAATTTTCAGGTCCCCAGGCTTTGATTTTTTGGCACACACTGACAATTTTTTTTTCTGAACTTGATTTCAGTGGTTTAAAAACTATTTTTTTTGTCTGGATGAAAGATTATTGAAGTCTCATCTTCACTGCCAAAAAAGAAGTGTTACTGGAGTGGCATAACTACCTTAGATTAGCTATCTCATTGTAAAACCCTAGTGGAGACAAGGCACAGGTAGCTTTTACTGTGGCATAGCCAAGTAAGGTATCCCAGTGGACAGGGTGGATGTGTGTAGTGTTGATGTTGGCTAGCTATATTGAGGTAAAAGCTGCTTGAGCCTCATTTTCACTAGGGATGTAAAATCCCATTTTACTCATTAAATGATTTAAAGGATACCTTCCCTCCTCACACAGAGGACAATGGCCATCATGGCTGGGCTGGAGAACCTGGCCTGGGCATTACACCAACAGGGGCTGCCTACCAGGCTGGAACACCTCCCGCCCATGGTGGTCCCATGGTGGGTGGGGCGCTGCTCAGGCCCCACCAGTTAACCAGAACAGGTGAGCCTTGCCTGTTAAGGGTGAGGCTTACTGGTTAACCATTCACATCACTAATCTCCCCTAGACTTTTACAATGAAATAGATAACATTAGTTATCACGCTTCAATACAAGTGAAGTGTGAGGATGTAGCCAAAGTGTCCACATTGGGAACAGTTTTAGATTGAGTAGAGTTGGGATCCCCAAGCCTGCAGGTGTACTAGTTGGGATTGTGCATTCATATAAGTATCATTTTGTGAATGTGTTTGATGCACATTTTGAAAGGTTGAGTCACAGTATTTTATGATTCCTCAGGCTCTGCTGCAGTTGCTCTTGAGCAGATCTTATTCTGGGAATTGTGCTGATGTCAATGCAGTTCTATCAGCTAAGAATTATTCACAAAATGTGAATTGCATTCCATTGGAAATGTAAAGAACTTAATGGTATTGTAGTCACAAAAATCACTAAACTAATCTCTTGTGTGTTTCTTCAGGGCTTTCCATTCCTGATGCTAAATCATAAAATGTCTCATTTCAAAGAGGCTTTGCCTCTAATGCCACTAATCTGTTTTGTTTTTTGCATAAAGGCAATAATCTTGACTTTATGACCAAAATAATTCCATGACAATTTCGCTCAAGATAATTACACACTTGTGCTTGCAGAATAAGTAGTAGTTCGGGCAAGAGAAAATAAAGCTTGTATGTTTGACTGAACAAGTATTAAAGAAAGAATACAGGAAAATTTTATAACTTGATTTTTGTATATGTACTTGTCTTTTTCTCTGGTGGTGCAAAGTAAATCTCAATCTACTGTAGTAGGAAAACCTAGTTTTGAAAGATTACTTGAGTGGAGAGAGAATCTATTGGTGTTGTAATAATTAAGGATGTTAACTAACAAGTAATGTACTAATTGAGTAGTCGATGGAATTTCCATTGACTACTTGACTAGTTGATAGGCATTTCCGCATTCTTCCTTTGAAATGTCACAGTGAGGGCTCTTGTATATTTCAAAGGAGGAATGTGGAAGTCTGTGTGCAGTCTGGGGCCAGTGGGAAGTCCCGCTGACTCCGGGCTCCACTAGGGTGCTTACCCTTTGAAATGCACAAGAGCCTCTGGGGACCCTTGGGCATTTCAAAGCAGAAGCATCTGCATAAAACCCAGAGTCAGCGGGACTTCCCAATGGCCCCGGGCTACATGCAGCATGCCAGCTTTGAAATGTACAAGCATCCCCAGTGGGGGCTTTTGCCCATTTCTAAGCAGAAGCACCCTCATGGAGCCTGGGATCACCAGGGGACTCAGAATCCCCTGCTGACCTCAGGGTCCATGCTGCGCTGCCACTTTGAAATGCTGCGCTGGAGCCTGGGATCAGCTGGGGAGTCCCCAGCTGATCCTGGTTTCTGTGGAAATGCTGCGTGGTGACCAGGATCAGCTGGGGATTGATCCCAAGCTTTGCACGGCATTTCCACAGAACCTGGAGTCAGCTGGGGACCCCAGACTCTACGTGCTTTGAATGGTTCTGCGCTGTTTGCTCGGCATTTCAAAGCAGCAGTGCTGCACATAATCTGGGATCAGCTGGGGACTCCCCAGTTGACTCCAGGTTCCGTGGAAATGATGCAGGGAGCTCGGGGTCAGCCAGGGAGTCGCCAGCTGACCGTGAGCTTCACTGGACACTTCTGCTTTGAAATGCAACCACAGCATTTGAAAGGGGCAGCACCACATGGAGCCCAGGGTAAGCTCCATGAGGCGCTTCCACTTTGAAGTACTCTTCTTCCTTCCCTTTGCTGCCTCTATCTGATGGGTGGAGGGAATCGACTATCCTTAATATGCTTAGTAATAATATACATATTCTGACATGGATTTTTTTGCTGTTCTGTACGGATGAAGAGTAAGGGAACTGAAGATTCAGTTTTCTGGAAAACATCCTTGTGTATATTATCATCTAATTTGTAGACCTAGGCATAGAAACTTATTCTGCGGGGCTATTGTTCGTACCTAAAAATATTTGTATTAGTGTTTGTTGTTCAACAGCGCAATTAAAACCGAGAGTAATTTTGACTGCTTTTTAATTGTGATTTATCTTGTTAATTGTTTGACAGCCTTAATTTTATATGAAAACTTCATCTGCAGAAATAGATGGCTTGTGGCCCCACACTCACCAAATAGAGCTTCTGTTCTTCACTAGCAAGTGGATATTTTTAGCCTCATCTGATTTTTTCAGATGAGTATCTAGATCCTCAGACTCTTACTCAATAACATTATTTAAAAACCAACTAACTAAAGTTATTTTGACTACATTGGTGGTTTTCGTTACTTTGCTCTCAGTATTTCACTTACCTCAAGTGAAATATCTCACTTACCTCCCTTACAAATTTTTACTGCAAATTCTAATGCTATCTTTTTGCATGTCTTCGAAGACTTTAAACTTACAAGCTTATGAGAGAGAACGTAAGGACAGTCCTGCTGGATCAGACCAATGATCCATCCAGCCCAGTATCCTTTGAATTCCCTCCAAGAACTCTAATAGATTGGTGAGGCATAATTTCCCTTTACAAAAGCTGTCAGTTCTTTTCCAATATGATGTATTAATCTATCTGTCTAATTCAGTTTTTTTACTGTAGCTTCATCCAGTTTGCCTGGTACTGAAGTTAGGCTTACTGGCATGTAATTCCAGTATCACTTTTGGAGCCTTTTTTTAAAAATTGGCATTACATTATCCCCCAGTTATGTGGTAGAGAGGCTGATTCAAGTATTTGTTATGTACCACAGTTAACAGTTCTGTAACTGAGTTCTTTTAGAACCTTTGGGTGAAGAGAGTACAGTGTTTGGGAGACTGTTGGGGTTCTGGAGGGGATGGGGAGCCAGAGGCAGGCTCTGTCCAGGAAGCACTTACCTAAGCAGCTCTCAGTCAACAGCATGCTCAGGCAGGCTTCCTTGTCTGTCAGCAGCCCCAGACAGCTCAAAGCAGCTGGCTCTTTCATGTGGTTGACTCTCTGCACCGCAGGGGGAGCCTTCATACACTGCCACTGTCCCCCCAGCAAAATATTTCAGCTCCATTTGACCAGAAGCCAATTGGTTTTGCGCTGTGTAAAGCCCCCGCCTTCCCATCTGCAGCACAGAGAGCCACAGGAACAGCTAGCCACTTTCAGTGGTTTTGCTCCATGTCACAGGGGTAGCCTGTGGCATGGATTAAAAGGCTTGGCAGGCCAAATCTTGCCCACCCCTTGATTAGTTAAATTATCTTGCAAGAGATAATATCCTCCTTTGTGTACATACAGTGAGCCCTTAAATCTTGTTGGGGCATTTGGTCACTACCAACATGCAAATGAGACTTTATTTCTTGTATCCTTGTGTACAAATTAACTTTACATATAGTACAGCCAAGAAAATATTTCTAAACTCTCCACAAAATTGTTTCAGAAATATGCATTAGTTTCAAGTTCTGGTGGTTCTTGCAAGGAATTGTGCAGATAGTTTCCGGATATGTATATTATGTTGCTTTGTAAAATTGCCCTCTGTGGATATATTTTTAGCTCTTGTTTTTCAAAAATACCTGTATTTTACTCAATGCTAGCTGAAGAGTAAGGCTCAGAATACACAGAAAATATTTTGGAAGCTTGCTTTTTTGTTTCCGGAACGTAGAATTTCACTACTAACATGATTTGTTAGGAGTAGGGATATAAGCAGCTAGTCGAGTAGGTAGTCAAATGGATACCTGACTCCTCATTTCCCCCCCCCTTCTTTGCTGCCTCTGGCACAGACGCAGCAAGGGTGGGGGAAAGCAGGAGTCAGTGCTAGGGGAGATGACTTAAGTTGGTTCATCCCAGCAACATCTCTGTGGTGCATGGGGTGGGGGTGGGAGACCAGGGGAGGCAGAGCTGAAGCAGAACAGTCCTGGCTCATGCTGGCCCCAGAAGCTACCCCCGCTGCAGTTCTGCATTTTAAATGTAGTAAGAGCTGGGTGGCTCTTTCTACTTTTAAAATGCAGAGACACTGGTCCAGGACCTCGTGCAAGTCAGGACTGCTCACGCCAGGTCTGGGACCTACTCCTGCCACAGCTCTTCAGTTTAAATAAAGTAGGAGCCAGGCTACTGGCACACCCGGCTCCTACTACATTTAAACTACAGAGCTGCAGTAGGAGGACCTGGTGGGAGCTGGGACAGAGTACCTCCCCTTATCAACTAATTGTGTATTCGATACTGTACCAACTGCATGATTAGCCAGTTACCCACTTCTTAACATCCGTAGTTAGGAGTGTATGGTGTAAGGATGTTAAGGACTAGTCAGTTCTCCCTACTTGTTGTGTTACGTTATGGGTACACTGAAGAAATTTTGCCGATCTGTCTTTTCTTCAGGCAGTCCTGCCTCTTTAACACTTTCTACACGGATACCATATGTCTTTTTTACCACTCTCATAACAACTATTGACAAATGTACCAAAAGACTACCTGAAGAGAGCTGCCTGGGGGATTTACGGATAATTGTGGCTAGCAATTAGTTTGAAGTACAATCCTTGCTCCTTACATGAAATATATCAAGTGACAAAACAAATAATATGCTTGGAGGCATTTTGTGACAAAGTCCATGACACACAGCAACAAGAGATCCAAGGGTGTCAAGAGTCTAAAACAGTGGTTCTGGGCCATAGACCTCTAGCTGCCTGGTCGCGGCAGCACTGGGGGCTGGGGCTGGGGTACACTGCTCCTGCCATGGCCGTTGGGAGAGGCGTGTCCTGCCCCGCCTCTCAGCCAACCAGCACCAGGCAGGGGCGGGGTCTCCTCCCAGCCTCAGAAAAGCACTTCTCTTTGCGGCCTTCCAGCATTTTGCACAGCTGGAGTTGCATCTCTTAAGCCGACCTTCCTGGTCTAGTGTAGACCAGACCTTAGTGTCTTGCCATGGGGTCTAAATTCCAGTGGGGATTTTTAGAGCAAATGTGTTAGACTGCAAGGCGTCTTCTGTGCTCTGGACGCTGGCTCTTCGGCTGTATTCTGACCACAGCAGTAAATGTGAACACTGGAATGACTAGGTCTGCTTTCACGACTATCAGGGTATCGGAGTGCTTAAGAGCAGCCAGGCAGTGCAAAGTCTGCACATGGCATCCGAACAGCAGCATTAGGGAGGGAGTGAATACACATCTGTGCTCTGCCAGGGGATTAAGAGAGGCCCTGTTCTAGCTGCTGTTCTGTCTGTTGTAGCCGTCTTGCGGGCTGACCCAGGAAGGCATGTAGCTGGGTGACAATTTTAGGATTTCATTGAAGTATGTACAGGTGGGATCTCCCTGGTCCGGCATCCTCGGGACCTGAGCGGTCCCGAACCATGGAGTTTGCGGGACCAGGGGAAGGTCGAGGCTTCGCTCCCCCACTGTCCCCAGCCTTTTTTGGGTTGCACAGTGCTGGGAGCACCAGGCCCTGCTGTCTCCAGCCTGGCCCAGGCTACGTTCCCTGCTGCCTCTGGGCTGGACCAGGCTGTGCTCCCCACTGCGCCGGCCTGGGTGAGGCTGCATTCCTGGGCGCTAGCCCCACAGCGTGCAGCCTAGGAGTGGCTGCAGTCCCCTCGGCACCGCTAGCCCCTGAACCTGGCCAGCCTGGGCCCTCTGAACCAGCCATCTCGCCTCCTTTCCATCCCCCTGGTAGTAGCCTCTATCCACGTGGAGCTCGGACCCCCACAGATATGGGCTGCTGTCACTCTACACTGCTGCCTCTATCAGAGCACCTGGTCGGCACAGGGAGATGTTTTTTTAAACTGGCTCCCCTCGCAGACCGGCTCCTGGGGACTATCAAATAGTCGTGTAACCAATAAGATTTCATACAATTACATGACTATTCAATTACGCTATATCTAACATCCCTAACATAGACATGTTTCATTATAGGTCAAAATCATTTAATATGTGGAAGAGAGGAAGGATGTTTCTGGAAACATAATTGAAAGCTCCTCCTCTTGGGAGGATAAAAAATGGAAATGTCATCTTTTATTTTTGTGTGTGTGTGTGTGTCTCTCTCCAGTAAATCATTCTTCAAAAACAACTGAAACATCTGATCCCCCAGTGGTACCAACAAAAGATTCTGAAGAAGTGAAGAATGTTACATGTGCGGATGAACAAAGCAATGGGCTTGGGAAATCTACAAAAGAAATGTGTACTACAAATGGTAGTAACTTTATGAGCAGTGAAACTTCTAACTGGGGATTGAATTCCAATGATAAATTAAATGATAGAGACTCCATAAGTGATACCATTGATTACAAAACAAATGCTGCAACCATTAATGATTCAACAAATGTTAAGGAGTCTCAGATTTCTTCAGAACTAGATAATCGGACAGTTACAAAGAAGCAGCAGATCCAAGACAAGGCAACAAATGACTTGGACTTTGAATTATCTAGTGATAGTGAAAGTGACAATGGATTAGATGCTAGGAAGTCCTCATCCTCTTCCTCAGATAGTGACAATGAGGGTAAAAGAAGCTGGAAAAAATCAAAGCAGCCTGTACAAGATGATAATTTGCAGCAAGAATGTTGCATTGATGTGAGTGTGGGGAAGGATAGTCAAATGAACCATTCAGGGGAGGCAACAACTTCACCAAGTGTATATGCTCATGGCAAGACAGTTGATCTTGAAATGCAAGAAGAAAGTGAACAGGTCAGCCTTTGTGATTTAGGAAATGGGTGTGCAGACAAGAAAGAAGCAGAGACAGAGTCACAGAATAGTGAGCAGTCTGGGATTACAATGGGCGAATCTTTAGATCAGAGCATGGAAGAAGAGGAAGAAGAGGACACAGATGAGGATGACCATTTAATATACCTCGAAGAGATCCTTGTTCGGGTGCACACTGATTATTATACCAAGTATGATAAATACCTGAAAAAGGAGATCCATGAAATTCCAGACATAAGAAAAATAGTACCAGAATTGAAAAGCAAGGTATTGGCAGATGTTACCATTATATTTAGTGGACTCTATCCAACAAATTTCCCAATAGAAAGAACCCGAGAACATTACCATGCTACAGCACTTGGAGCTAAAATTATAAAGAACCTAGCACTGAATGCTGATGATCCTAACAAGCCAACCCATCTGATTGCAGCAAGGGCAGGTAAGTAAGTGAAATTTATCAGTTTCCTCTTAATAAAATAATGAGTGAAAACAGTATTTTCAGTAATACAAAAAGTTGGCTGAAGAGTTGAAAGGACTTCATATATTTGCTGTCTTTCATGTTGGCTTAAATTATAATGGAGAATAGCTTAAAGATTTACTGAAAATCATTTTAAAAGGTCTTTGTATCCTTTTTGCTTTCATAGCATTAAGCTCTTGTTTGTTTTTCTAAAAAAAAAAAAAACAAAAAAAAATTAAAACAATTATCTGGTCTTTCCTGGTCTTGAGTGTGTCACATGGAAGTGTATTAGCTTTCACCTTTGAAAGGGGAGAGGTGTTGCTTATTCAACTAAGATGATGATCTATAATTAGGTATATTTTAAACTAGAGTAACTGAAATGAAATAAGTGATAACCAGTCTTGACTTAGAATTCTCGTCTCACTTGCCCAACTTTCATTCCTCTTCTTGTGATACTGCCATTTCACTTCATTCCCAGCTTTTCCTTGTCTTCCAGGCTAGACAAGACCCGAATTCCTAATGTGGTTAAGAAATAAATCTAACATGCCTTTTAGTCCCTCTTTATACACAATGAAGAAGCAAAGAACATGAGTCTAGTCCAGTGGTCACCAAACCAGTAGATCAGGATCTACTGGCAGGTGATCTTGACTAGTTTGGCCAGGAAGCTATCAAGTGCTGGCATTTCAGTTGCCCTTGCACCCACTGTCATGCTGATTCTGGAGCTGCAACACTGGGAGCCTCCTGCTTGCTATGCGGGCTCTGGGAGGGAGAGACGGAGGGGGCACTGATGTTCCTTTCCCCCCTCACTTCTGTACCCTGTTGCCACACAGAGAGAAAGGGATGGAGGGAGCTTGGCAATGCAAATCTGTCACTCTCTCACATTGTGTCTCTGTCATTCTCACAATCTCACACTATCCTTCACTCTCATCTCCCTCCCGAACACATACATGTGGGGTTGTTGTTACTTTTGCTGCTTGCAGAGGGTGTTATTTTTGGTTTTTGACTGATCAGTGCATTTCATAATTTTGATTTCTCATGCTTAAATTTAATTCTTTGAGTAGTGAGTTCTCAAATGCTTAACCTGTCATGGCTGGAGTAATTATCCTTCTGGTAATTGCTGCTCCTGGAAGTGGCTGGCAAGTCTCTTCAGCCCTTGAGAAAGGCAGAGCAGGGGGTCTCTACATGCTGTCCTTGCCTGCAAACACCACTCCTGCAGCTCCCATTGATCAATAGCGGGGAACCGTGGTCAGTAGAAGCTGTGGGCTCAGTGCCTATAGATAAGGGTCAGCACATGGCACCATGGAGTCACTGCTATATATGCCAGCAGTTTTCAAGAGTGGTGCAGGGTCAGGGCAGGAGTAAGCCTACTTTAACCCCACTGCTCCACCACTCAGAAGCCATCTCAGTTAACAGTGCCTAGCCAGAGCCTGCTTCCTGAACCCCTGTCCCAGCCCTGAACTGCCTCCTACACCCAACCTCCTGCTCCATATGTGAGTTCCCCTGCAGCCAAACTCCTTCCTAATGTTTGCACCCTGGACCCCAATCTCCCACCCTGGGCTAAGCCCGGAGCCCCTCCAATATGCCAAACCCCTTGGCCCAAGACCAGAACCTGCACCCCAATTCCAGCCTGATGAAAGTAAGTGAGGATGTGGGGAGGAAGTGGGATGGAGTGAGCAGGGTGAGGCCTCAAAGAAGGGGTGAGGCAGAGACAGGGCCTTAAAGAAGGGGCAGGAAGGAAGCAGGGCAAGGGTGTTTGTGTTGGTGGTAGATCTTACGTGCATTTAAATTGAAAAAAGTAATCTTGTGGTTAAAAAAGGTGGAGACCACTGGTCTAGTTTTTTCAGTCACTTTGGTTTATTTTCCTAGCCTGACAAGTTTCTTATAAGATTAGAATATATGCAAGAAATAAATATTTTGTTTTAAAGGCTTGCAGTGTAAAAATATCATAGTGTATTTTTGTTAATGTGATGAAGGTTTTTCCACCCAAATCTATAACTTCAGTTCAAGCTCATAATATAATTTCCAATTTAATAGTCCAACCAATGTAGTCTTTTCTTGAAAATAAATATTTTTTTCATATTGATCATGAGTTCTGCACTGAAATAATGGTAATTTTCAGGTCCCCAGGCTTTGATTTTTTGGCACACACTGACAATTTTTTTTTCTGAACTTGATTTCAGTGGTTTAAAAACTATTTTTTTTGTCTGGATGAAAGATTATTGAAGTCTCATCTTCACTGCCAAAAAAGAAGTGTTACTGGAGTGGCATAACTACCTTAGATTAGCTATCTCATTGTAAAACCCTAGTGGAGACAAGGCACAGGTAGCTTTTACTGTGGCATAGCCAAGTAAGGTATCCCAGTGGACAGGGTGGATGTGTGTAGTGTTGATGTTGGCTAGCTATATTGAGGTAAAAGCTGCTTGAGCCTCATTTTCACTAGGGATGTAAAATCCCATTTTACTCATTAAATGATTTAAAGGATACCTTCCCTCCTCACACAGAGGACAATGGCCATCATGGCTGGGCTGGAGAACCTGGCCTGGGCATTACACCAACAGGGGCTGCCTACCAGGCTGGAACACCTCCCGCCCATGGTGGTCCCATGGTGGGTGGGGCGCTGCTCAGGCCCCACCAGTTAACCAGAACAGGTGAGCCTTGCCTGTTAAGGGTGAGGCTTACTGGTTAACCATTCACATCACTAATCTCCCCTAGACTTTTACAATGAAATAGATAACATTAGTTATCACGCTTCAATACAAGTGAAGTGTGAGGATGTAGCCAAAGTGTCCACATTGGGAACAGTTTTAGATTGAGTAGAGTTGGGATCCCCAAGCCTGCAGGTGTACTAGTTGGGATTGTGCATTCATATAAGTATCATTTTGTGAATGTGTTTGATGCACATTTTGAAAGGTTGAGTCACAGTATTTTATGATTCCTCAGGCTCTGCTGCAGTTGCTCTTGAGCAGATCTTATTCTGGGAATTGTGCTGATGTCAATGCAGTTCTATCAGCTAAGAATTATTCACAAAATGTGAATTGCATTCCATTGGAAATGTAAAGAACTTAATGGTATTGTAGTCACAAAAATCACTAAACTAATCTCTTGTGTGTTTCTTCAGGGCTTTCCATTCCTGATGCTAAATCATAAAATGTCTCATTTCAAAGAGGCTTTGCCTCTAATGCCACTAATCTGTTTTGTTTTTTGCATAAAGGCAATAATCTTGACTTTATGACCAAAATAATTCCATGACAATTTCGCTCAAGATAATTACACACTTGTGCTTGCAGAATAAGTAGTAGTTCGGGCAAGAGAAAATAAAGCTTGTATGTTTGACTGAACAAGTATTAAAGAAAGAATACAGGAAAATTTTATAACTTGATTTTTGTATATGTACTTGTCTTTTTCTCTGGTGGTGCAAAGTAAATCTCAATCTACTGTAGTAGGAAAACCTAGTTTTGAAAGATTACTTGAGTGGAGAGAGAATCTATTGGTGTTGTAATAATTAAGGATGTTAACTAACAAGTAATGTACTAATTGAGTAGTCGATGGAATTTCCATTGACTACTTGACTAGTTGATAGGCATTTCCGCATTCTTCCTTTGAAATGTCACAGTGAGGGCTCTTGTATATTTCAAAGGAGGAATGTGGAAGTCTGTGTGCAGTCTGGGGCCAGTGGGAAGTCCCGCTGACTCCGGGCTCCACTAGGGTGCTTACCCTTTGAAATGCACAAGAGCCTCTGGGGACCCTTGGGCATTTCAAAGCAGAAGCATCTGCATAAAACCCAGAGTCAGCGGGACTTCCCAATGGCCCCGGGCTACATGCAGCATGCCAGCTTTGAAATGTACAAGCATCCCCAGTGGGGGCTTTTGCCCATTTCTAAGCAGAAGCACCCTCATGGAGCCTGGGATCACCAGGGGACTCAGAATCCCCTGCTGACCTCAGGGTCCATGCTGCGCTGCCACTTTGAAATGCTGCGCTGGAGCCTGGGATCAGCTGGGGAGTCCCCAGCTGATCCTGGTTTCTGTGGAAATGCTGCGTGGTGACCAGGATCAGCTGGGGATTGATCCCAAGCTTTGCACGGCATTTCCACAGAACCTGGAGTCAGCTGGGGACCCCAGACTCTACGTGCTTTGAATGGTTCTGCGCTGTTTGCTCGGCATTTCAAAGCAGCAGTGCTGCACATAATCTGGGATCAGCTGGGGACTCCCCAGTTGACTCCAGGTTCCGTGGAAATGATGCAGGGAGCTCGGGGTCAGCCAGGGAGTCGCCAGCTGACCGTGAGCTTCACTGGACACTTCTGCTTTGAAATGCAACCACAGCATTTGAAAGGGGCAGCACCACATGGAGCCCAGGGTAAGCTCCATGAGGCGCTTCCACTTTGAAGTACTCTTCTTCCTTCCCTTTGCTGCCTCTATCTGATGGGTGGAGGGAATCGACTATCCTTAATATGCTTAGTAATAATATACATATTCTGACATGGATTTTTTTGCTGTTCTGTACGGATGAAGAGTAAGGGAACTGAAGATTCAGTTTTCTGGAAAACATCCTTGTGTATATTATCATCTAATTTGTAGACCTAGGCATAGAAACTTATTCTGCGGGGCTATTGTTCGTACCTAAAAATATTTGTATTAGTGTTTGTTGTTCAACAGCGCAATTAAAACCGAGAGTAATTTTGACTGCTTTTTAATTGTGATTTATCTTGTTAATTGTTTGACAGCCTTAATTTTATATGAAAACTTCATCTGCAGAAATAGATGGCTTGTGGCCCCACACTCACCAAATAGAGCTTCTGTTCTTCACTAGCAAGTGGATATTTTTAGCCTCATCTGATTTTTTCAGATGAGTATCTAGATCCTCAGACTCTTACTCAATAACATTATTTAAAAACCAACTAACTAAAGTTATTTTGACTACATTGGTGGTTTTCGTTACTTTGCTCTCAGTATTTCACTTACCTCAAGTGAAATATCTCACTTACC